ATGGTTTATCGGTTGATCATCACTCCAGGAACACTTAAGGAGGTACTCACGATGCTCTGTTGCTTCTATTTGACTGTTAGGAAGGAGGCGATTCCTATAATTATTACGTGTAGATTTTTCAAGGGTCTGATGACCTGGAACTTGAGGATTATTGCTGTTCTGTTCCTAGCCAGCTGATAGCTAATTATTTTCTGCCCATTCTGAGTGATTCACACATCTCCCCAGGTCTTACTGAGGCTACTGACATATTCATATAAACTATTAAATCAAATAATTTTTTTTTTTAAGCTCTGGGCAACTGGAGGCTTTTCCTAGAAATCACACATGACACAGTACCACATGAATGCGGCAGTGAAAGATTGGTTCCCTGGGGTGTATCTTAAGAACAAGTTTCTTTTTCTCTCCCACACTTCATAAGATTTCTCTGCCATAAATCTGTGGCACATTTATCCTGTGATGACGTTTTTCGGAATTCTTGTAAGTTCATGTAAATACCAGTTCAGAAAGAATATGTTCAGTTGGCTCAGGGTATCCAAGTAAACTGCAAAGTCCTAAAGCATTAATACGACATCTCTCAAACTGATGCAAATTACGTTACAAATAATTAAAAAGTAACGCTGTGCACTTCTATAGCACCTTACATCTTTGTAGTGCTGAAATAACAGAAGCCTGAAACGTTCTTGTGTCATAGTTCAAGAGGTCTAACTCAAAGTCTTATTTTTATTATAAATGTCTTTCCAAATGGCTGTCATGCTATGTATTACCTCTAAGCCGATTCCATTTCTAATACTGATTTCTTTCCAACAGCGTATTCTGAAAAGCATTACTCCAGAAACAGCTACAGAAATACCCTTTGGAGACATCCGCATGAATGCAGTATAAGCTAACCCGTTTTCTGGGGGAAGAGAGGGGGAGCGTACAATGTAACTTTCCCCATACTCTCCCCTGCAAGAATTACATTTCCAGCTGAGACAACAAAAGGAGTTTTCTCTGGAGGTTGCATCACTGACAACGGGCATTTGGAAGCATGATGCCTCCAGCACATTTATCCAAGCAATTTATTGAAATCTACTGTGCACTTCTAACCAGACTGAACTGAGAACTAATTCACTCTGGAAACACGAGGATTTCTGTGTGCATGAGAATACTGCTACTCCATCCACGGGCCCTGGGGCTTTTCAAACAAAAATGTGCGTGATTGCGTAAGCCACGCTAGGACGAGTATCAGCGGGTAGGATTAGGTGTAGAATCCCAAGTCTGTGGCAGTCCTCCTGTATCTTCCTCAATGTGATTGTTCGTACTGGGCAATGTCGTATTCGCTTCTGAGGTTCTAATTGCTTAAACTACATTGAAAAATACAAAAATATTTCTGATAGCCATACATTACTCAAGTAATACAGGGGTTTATACACTAGGAAAAAAAAAAGTACATTCTTCAATCCCTAGGTTTGTAGTGGAGTAGACAGAGGAAGAGGAAACAATCCTGAGCAGCACTGTATACAGCTCTGCATACATTAGCACACACATTTAGAAGCATTATTCTCCTTTTCGTTTCCCGCATTTTGTAGATAGTAAAATTTTCTATTAATTGTTTCTTGCATAACAAATATTAGAAATGCATTTTTTGTAATGCTGTAAGCTTCCCTTTCCTTTAGACCCAATCAAGCCACAAAATCTCATCATGGCTTACTTGACAAGTACCAAAGTTCCTAGCACTTCCTACGCTGTTTTGGTAACTAAGCTAGATATTCACAAAATCATTGTCCTGACAGACCTAACACACCCAAAAAAACTACAGACCAACAATGAATTTTTTTGAGTTCTGATGCCAAAAAGTGAAAAGTGGAATCTTAAAGATCTGCTTCTCTGTTTGTTTTTTTTTATAAATTTAATTTCACACCTCAACTCTGCTGGAACTTGTGGCTTCTTCTGTTCTTTTCTAGTACAGAACTAAAGCTTAGAATAATCCTTTTGGCTAGCTGACAAAAAACTATACAAACCTACTTTGAAGATTTCTTAGCTCATATTCTCATGTGAACATACTTGGTTTTCACCCTGAAGGAGGAGGGGAATTTTTTCGTTTGGCAAGAAGTTGCATAGCATTCAGCAGGATTGATTCTCATCAGAAGATGAGAATATTTATATTAAATTTTGAGGCACTGATATACAAATTAACTTCGAAGCACATAGTAATCTCCTTATATTATACGCATACACACGCCCTCGAAATGTAACTGCCCTTCAGACCAACTGCAATTGCCAAGTCAGTTGGAGGACAACAGTTCTGCTGCAGTTACATGGAAGTTTAGATAAACCTAAGTAGGCATCATTTATGTAAAAACCTGCATTGTATTTTTACTCTATGACATCATTATAAGAAAAGTGAAATAGAGGATAAAAGTCTCTTCTGTATCTCATGGTCTACTTAGGTAATGTACTGCTAAAATTAACAAGGTTATATATGCACTCATAGCCGCAGGAATTAAAGAAAGCCACTGAAGAGTTTACATTGGTACGAAGAACTTACCATATTAGAGGAAAGCAGTGATGGTGTATTTGCCTTTTGAAAACCTTTTCATCGCTTCCGCCAAGGTTTTTCTCCCTCCGGTGTGCAGACACCTCCTGGAGGAAGGCCTCTTACACTTCAGCTATTGCCTTGAGTTCACTTTAGGTCTCAAGCCCAACTTCCAATAAGGAAATAACTTAAAGGAACAAACTGAAGACTCCTGAACTATTTTTAAAAAGGGAATATGTTATTTCACTGCCACCAGACAAAAACATAATAAATCTGTCTTACAGATGTACTGAGAGAGGGTGAAAGTTTTTTAAAATTATTCGAAGATATAAAAAGCAATGTAGACATGCAAAGTCACAGGAAAAATATTTTTAGAAATAGACAGTCCAGAAGATAATTTGTGATGTTAGATCTTTGCTATCTTTTTGCTAGGATAATCCAGTCTGAGGTCTTTACGGGAACAGGGGGCAAGAAAGCCCTCCAGAAGTGGATTAAAAAGGCTCTTCTTCTCCCAAATAATACAAAGATAAAATACATCCATACTTTCAGTCTATAAAAGCTGAACTAGCAAGGCAGTTTAGTTCCTTTTTTTTTTTTTCATGGCATACTGGTTCGAAGTTTTCTAAATGTTCTTATAAGTTCACTTTTTAGTATCTCTATTTAGCTGAGTGGTTGAAATATTGAGAAATTTATTTCATTTATTTTTATCATGGATTCTTTTTTTCTTCCTTTTACATATCCATCTGAAATTTAGAGTAACCAATATTTATCAGGTAGCTCAACAAGTAGCCACATATTAAACATTGTTTTTGTACAGAAGCCAGTAACAAACAGATACCAAATGGGCTGTACTGCAATTAAAAGTGTTTTGAGGCAAACAAACAAATTCCTTTTCTTCAGCTCACCTTCTGCTTATCTAACATACAAGTATATCCTACCCTCTATTCTGAACAGTGAAAAGGAATTTACGAAACTGGTAAATTAGGACCATGTTTGCCTTCTAAACAAAGAATTAAACTGGAGTTTTAGCTGCACAGAACTAAGTATTCCCTCCAACTTGTACATGATGCACCTGTATTAATTTATGCGGCTGTTTAGTTACAAGTGTTGAAAGCTGCAAGTTGTAAGTCATCAGTATGTGCCTTGTACTGTAAACTGTTATTGTAATAAATTTAATATTCATAGTCCATCTGTAAATGTCTCTTTTGCCTCTCTCTTATGGGAAGAGCAAAGATAAAAATTCCAAAAAAAAGCAGAACATCTAGTCCAGTTTACTATACCAACAAGGCCTCTGACAAAAAGCAGAGGACTTCCTTCCGTGTTTGAACTTTAGCCCACTGCTACCTACTCTTTCATTCTACTCCAACAGAAGAACCAATGCACATTACATTTGTTTAGACCGAACAGCAAAAACAAATCAATCCACACTTGCTTAGCTGCTCAATTACCTTACATATAAAGCTCATTCCATGTCAAGGCTTGGCATTTAATTTTACTCACATTTTGTCTCATTACTAAGTCTGCTGAACAAAATACTAGAAAAACACCAATCTCAAAATCTTTTTTTCTACATTATCTCACCTTACTGTAGCATAAAAGTGATAAATCTACTACAAAACAAAGTCAAAGAAGCCATTGTGAAAAATGTTGAAAACGTACTCTAAAAACTATGACCATTGTCAGATATCCTACTTACCAAATTGTAGCTTGGAGATAACTTTATTCTTGATTACAAACCTTTAACAGACAGACTGACAAAGAACAAGCAGATATGACTGTAATACATGAAAAAGACTCATATGCCTTATTTCACACAGAAAAGATGCAGTAAAATAACACAAGCATTAAGAGACCCACACATTAGATCCAGTATGTATCTTGCACTTTATTTGTGTTTCTGTACATCAGGTCCCAAAAACCAAAGCCCACACATAAATACAAAATTCGTATGTCAATATGCATTTAGCTTACAAAACACCATACTACATACAGAAATCTCCTAGATTATTATTCAGGCTGCGTTTCTTGCTTTTTTCCCCCAGCTTTTACAGGTCTGTTCTTGTGTTTGAGAGCATCACTGGGCAACAATGACTGCTGTGGAGGCCTGAGAACGCCTTTGTTTCAGCAGAGCTCACTGCTTCAGCCAGTGAAAGGAGTAGGGGTGCCAGGGTATTCTCACCTTAAGTTGTTTAACACTCGTAGGTCTGTCTTGGAATCGTCAAATACCAAGGATAGGGTATGAAGGCCAGGGTGGACAGAGTCAGACAAATTTAATATTTCAACTGTATAAACAGACTAATGGTGTGTATCAAGTGATTCATTAATCCGTTTCAAAAGTTGCTGCTCTATTATGGTACACACAATTTCCTAAATGTAGGTCAGGAATAAATAGCTAGGACACACTTTTACTTCTGTACAAGAGTCCATGAAGCAGTGGCTTTTCCTCTTGGTTGAGAGACCAAGTGTTTTGTCCATCACAGGGACATTAATCTTCTTCCTTCTCAATGTAAGACTTAGTATTGACACGTGCCATTTGCCTTGCCAAATACCGGTCCCTTGCTGACATCACTGTCTCTTCATTGCTCCGTTTGGCAAATTTGCTCAGGCTCTCAGATGGTTTCTGTGCCTGTTCTTTCCCCCCTTTCTCTCCTTCTTCCCCAGCTTTACGTTTCTGGTCAGACGAAATTCCAGAGCTGGATCCTCCCTTCTCATCCACCTCTCTCTCTTTTTCCAGATCAGTCTCTCCATCTTTTTCTAAAGACGTAGGAGAACTTTCCCTCCTGCCTCTGTATTTCTTGTCATCACTACCATATTTCTCCCTCCTCTCCCTCACATGATCTTCCTTTTCTCTGCATGTCTCTCCTCTCTCCTTCTCTCTATCATTATACCTCTCTTTACCATTTCTTATTCTTTCTTTCTCTCGTTCCTTTTCTGAACCCTTCTCTTCTTTCTCCTTTGTCTTCCTCCATTCTCTGCCATGTCCCTCCCTCTCTTTTCTTTCCTTCCCCCTTTGTTTATCATCTAGCTCTTCCCTCCTTCTGTAGTTATCTTTATTAGCATGATCCCCATATCTATGTCGCTCTTCCTTTTCCCTTTGGTGATCCTTTTCATGGGTCCTACTTCTCTCGTAATCTTTTTCCCTGTATTGTTCCTCATTTCCCCTTCTGCTTGGCCTGCTCTCTCCCCTCCTCGTAAGGTGATTTGTTTGGGCTTTTGAGTGCAGCTCTTCCTCCACACTGGATGAGCTTGGTGACCTGCAATGCCTCTGGCTCTTGTGATGTTTAGCCTCCTCTTCACTGCTCACAGAGCTCTCTCTCCTTTTCTTCTTTTTCAAATTTGCTTTAATATTTTTGTGTGTCTGATCATCATCACTAGTATCAGTTCCTAAGTCAGTATCAGCATCTGGATTATTCTCTTTCTTAGCACAGGGCTTCAGTCGTTGCCTTTCATATGGGCATTTGTTCCTTTGGTTGGATTCATCATAACAACTGTCAGGTTTTTCTTCCTTTATCCTAAATTTTTTATGTTAAAAAAGAAAAAATAGCATTACACAGCCTGAAATCTCAGACTTTTCTAGAAACTGCTTTCCAGTCAAGATTTAAGCAAAAGTTGCTGCTGAAAAGTCTAAGAAAGCAAATTTATCTGTGGCTCAGGTTCCAGGAATCCAGCGCAAAGAATCTCTATTTCTGTATCTGGTTCATTGGTGAATGCGAGATGATGAATTTATAAAAAGAATGACTATGGTTAAGAATCTGTAGCTTCCATTTAGGGAAAAAGACATAGATTTGTATTCTTGTGTAAGCTTTTTGGCAAGCTACACATTTTTTCCTATGTGTTTATTCCTCTATTCATGTCAAATAACCATCCAGAGAAGCAGCAGGTCATATGTTTTGTTGACAGAGGTAGGAACATAGCTTCTGTTAGTAGTAGATTTTTTTTAATCCAGTACTTCTGAAGATCTCACTCTCGTGGCTAAATAGAAATTACTATCTTTTTTACAGCTCATAGATTCTTAAATACAAAAAGCTGAGCCATTGGAGGACCAATTTGGGCAGCAGACAGAAAGGTTATGCTTTGCCATTCTTTTCTGACTGATAAGGAAATACATGTTTACTCACACAAGCCACACATCTCTTCTTTCTAATCATAAAGCTAAAGTAACAGTCTGTAGTAAATTCTTATGAACCAGCACACCATCTAGTTAGACTGAATGTTTGATGCATGCTTGAAAGCATGGTTAGTCTATGAACAATGACTAAAAATTATGCTGAGAAGTTTGATGATTTATTTAGTAATTCAATTCATTAAAATGACAAGTCAAAGTGGATCACTTTAGGGACAAGTGATGCAAATTCTAAGATCTAAAAATCAAGCTGTTTTCCCTCTGTAGACTATTGTACCACCATAAGAAAGAATAAAATTAAGAATGTACCTGAGCTTATTTGAAAGCCTTGCTGGGAGCACCATCTACAGTACTACTTCTTTTGTCCTGAATTAATTTTATATAAAACTCACAAAAGGAACATTTCCTTAATTTGCAAAATTAAGAAACCATCATTTCAAATGATCTCTAAACAGTACAAAACTACAACTTCCTGAAGACGCTCTGAAAGAAGAACTATTAAAGGAAGTGGACAACCAAGTGGGTTGACCACTACTGCTACTGTTTTTATAAAGAGATGCAAGTGAATAACTTAGATATTTCATAAGAAAAAGAAGAAACCATAAAATGCAAAATTCATTTAACCGCTTCAGTAGCAATCTTTGTGCACCACTGAAACCAAGCAGGTATTTCTCTTTGCTGAAAGCCTGAGACAGGATATTTTTCCAAACACATAGGTATACTAATACTTCAAGTCTCAAACAACAAAACTGTGGCCTCCAATTTCCCATTTTATGCTTAAATTCAGGAAGCTGTTCCACCTTTCTTCCAGTCAGTAATTTTTACTGCCTATGTCTTTTAACACTACTTTTCCCTATTCATTTCCAATAGGGTGGCATATCTTTATACTAAAGACATAATTGAGAATTCCCTTATTTCAGACAGCTGAGTAACTTCACTGTGATCACATACTTAATCTTAGATAAGAAGAATTTACTTTCTAATAATCCAATCTCAGATCTAGAAGACTTCTTGATGAAAGCTGCATTTTCTTTGTGACGGCAAGCATTTAACTAGTGATATCCAGGCTTAAGGCCTATCTCAAGTGAGTTTAACCTGAATTAGTTGTTTCAAATTATCAGTTATTGCATGTAAGAAACATATTCCCTTCACCGTATTTATCCACAGGGCAGAATTTTACCATCTCAAGTACATAAATAATTCAGCCTTATCTCACTACTTTGCTTTGGAATATGCATATATCAAGATTTTAAAATATTCCTACTGGATTTCCTATGTATTTGATTAATTTCCTTTTACCACAGCATCAACACTCAATTCGTTTATTTTTTATGAACCCGTAAATGTGGAATAAGTACAAAGTAAGAGACCCAAATTCTACAAGGAATTTTGTATCACAACATCATTTCCTACGACTTACCTCTCTGCCAATTATTTTACCCTTTGTCTCCCTCATGATTCAAAATATGTAACTTAATGCAGATTGCCATATATTAGGTTAGAATAATACCGATACCATTATGACTGTCCTCTTGACACTTTTTAAATGGCATCCCTGTCCTGCTTGTTTCTGTCTTATAAGCAATCATTAGACATTTTCCAAATAGTTCAGTTAATCAGATGTAGAAAGTAATCATCTTACCCTTACCAGGTAACTCTCTGTCTAACTCTTACACAGTCTGGAATCACAAACAATCAGAAGCTGGTTTATCCAGAATTGCATCCTACCTGGCTTCACGGAAGCTGCATTTAGGCATCTCTTCTTCCCCTACCCTCTGGTTTAAAAGATGTCTGTAAAATCCACTGAGATCCTTCTGTTTGGTCACATCCAGGTATGCTAAGAGAAAGAAAGAAAGATTGGATTTACTGTGCCACAAATACTCATCAGATGCAACTCACAATTGCTAGAGACACCACCAAGACTACAAACTCCATCCTGGAAGTTTTCAAGCTGAGACTGGAAAATGCTCAGAACAACCCGATTTGACCTCACAGCGGACCATGCTTTGAGCAAAAGGCTGGAATAGATGACCTTCAGAGGTCCACTCCAACCTGGTTTATCACATGATCCTATATCCTATTCTTTATACCTATTGCTGGGATGCTGTACAGAAAGTCTGAAGTAAGTAGTGTTAAGCGGCACTCTACCCCAGGTTTATGAATCTTCCTTCAACAACTGACCCCTCCTCAAAAATTAAAAGCAGCAATCCAATAAAAGAAGCTTCCTCTGTTCCTCTAGTAACACGTACAAAGCAAAATAACAGTGGGATCTGATTCAGTATTTGAATCCTTTTGATTTTAATTATCTCAAGCCTCACAGAGAGACCAGATGACAATATTGTAAATCATGTACAAGGCAATACTTCTTTTTAAGCAGAATTATTTCAGTGTGAATCTCACCCTCAAGAGCTGCCTCTCTTCTTTCTCTTTCCTCCTCCTCAGCCCTTTCTTGCAGCTTCTTCTTATAGGCTGAAGTCACAAAAGCCTCTTTGTGAGCAAACTCTCCCCCTTCCATTTCACGCTCTTTCTGAATTTTTCTTTCCATTCTTTTTTCTTGCTCCTTCTTTCTAATCTCAGCTGCTTTGAGGATATTTTGGATGTACCTGGGCTGAAATAGAAGGGAAAAAAGGTATCATACTGAGAGGTAATTGGGGTGGTTGAGAAAACACAAATTGGGATTTATGGAGATGTTGAAGAAAATTGGTAATGGAACAAGGTTGACAGAAGCTAGTCATATTCTCAACACCGTTTGATAGCTGTCTGAAATAAACTGTCATTCCCTTTTAGATCACTAATGTGGCATGCTTCCCAACAACAAGAGGTTGCTGTATTCAATCAAAACATTCAGCCCATCTTTGACTAGGATGATTTTTGCTCTGACTGAAATTAAATGTTTTTTGATTTCTCACCCCTCTGTCTTCTGTCTTGTAATAGCATTGCCCTTTCTAGTGCTGTGAAGGAGTGAGAAGTTTCCTTTTATACCCACATATCCTGACAAAAGCTTTCAAATGAAACAGAATAAGGAACAATTAAAATATCACTTGTCAGGATAATTCAGCAATGCTTTGAAACAACGTGTTGGGCTGTGGAAACTGGCTCACATTTCACCAATGAAAGTTGATTACTTTAGTCTTTTGACAGTCCTCCAGTAAGCACACTAGTGAGTGAGGAGGGATGATTTATGTTCATTGACTTAACAACCAAAAAGTCTTTGTTATCAGAAGTAGTATTGTTGCGGGGCCCACTACCTCTAATGCTGCTATCCCACTGTAGCATTCTCTGAAGTACCTGATGAACTGTTTTACCAAAATTCTTGCCAATTATTACCTCATGTAACAGGATGTGAGCACAATACTTGCATGCCCCATGAGAAAATGCATTTGGCAAAGCTTAAAAGTTATTCCAAGCATACAGAGGTAAGACACACAGCATACGTTTTCAGTTACCGACCTTTTTGTCATCTTTTCCAGATAACACGCTGGCATTACTTTCTTTCTTCTTCTGCTGCATTTCATCATAAATACTGTCATATTCGTACACTGTAGCATCTTCTTCCAAAGCCTTCTGAATCTCCAATTTAGTCTAAAACAAAAAAAGTGAGGGAGAAGATACAAAAAAATGAAGCATGAAATTTTTAATTATTTTTCAGCATTTTATTCCTATATTGTAATTTAAACAGATCTATAGTATAAACCTATACATTATAACATTGAGTGTAAATTAAAAACAGTCTGATCTACAAAGTTCTTGAAATGTTTACTAGGCTTGAGAAGACGAACAACCAAATCATGACCAGTAATTGCAGTTAGAGGAAATATAGGAAGCAAAGCACAACAGTCAAAACAATACTGGAAACTTCTTAATGAGCAAACTGTTCCATAAAACAATGTAATTCATTTTTTTAATAAACAGAAAACAACATTTCAATAATTTTTACTGTCTGTTTTCATCTATAGTTTATCCCCCTTCCTCGAAGCCTCAAATGATAAATATGTACCAATATAATTCAGGATATGATTCCATATTTCACAGCTCTATTCTGTTTGTACAGTCAAGTTGGAAGTAAGAACTGTGAAACCATTCAGTTTTTAAAAGACCTATCAGAAAAAAACAACATGGGAAGCCCCAGGATCAGATCTCCTGACAACAGGAGAGGAATGCTGAATGGCAGTCATACAAGTTTCTCTCAAGCACATATTACCTCCATCGAGTATATTAAATGTATGATGTATAAATATCTTTTTCTGCTAGCTATGTCTTTTATTGGTGTGGAACTTTTTAAAATGTAAAATTCATGTTTCCTTTGTACAATTTATTGCTCAATTACAATAAAAGGCTCACTGTTGGTATATATTTAAAAACCCAGTGCTTTTTAACAATACATTCTACAAACAAAACAGTTTGAGAAATTGTAAAAACATCAATGCATTCTATGCCACAAAACAAACTTCAACATCTAGTGTATTTAAGTGCTTGCACTGAGTAAACAGAAATGTTATTGTGTATTAAATTACGACCAGCTCTGTGTTAAACCTCACTCGGGCAGCTTTCATTAGGCAGTTTTTCAGTTACTCTGCTCAGAGCCAGAAGAATTTCAAAAAGAACAATCCTGACCAGAAAAGTAGAACAAGAACTTTGCTAGAGGAAAAGCTCTGAGAATTTCAAGTCAAGTTTTAAAGAAAGTCTTGTGCTGCGAAGAGCAACGCACAAAGTCATAAAATTATGTAGAATTTTTTTAACAGGTAATTCTAACTCTGAAGTTGCACAATTATGTTTCTGCAATTATTTAATAAAAGGGAATGGATGCAATAATTTCTTAATTTGCCGCAGGCATGAAGAGTCCTCACGGCATCTTACCTGTTTCATTGCTTGTTTTTTCAATGCTTCTTTCTGAAGACTTTCACCAACAGATGGCTATAGGAAGGAAATATTACAGAAATAAAATTAATTACATTGACACAGCTCCTATTATTTTTCTATGATTCGAACAAACTATATAATAGTCCCATTACATATGTCAGTCTCTCACCTCAATTGTATTTTTATGTAAGCCAGAAAAACCAAAAGACCATTCACAAGCATACAATTAATCAGCCCTTTCCATGAGCAAAGTATTGCAGTACCTCAACATATATACGTATATATTTTTAATGAAAATGGTGATGAGTTGAAGAACATCATTTCAATGACATGTGTACCTCAGAAACTGCATAAAATTTCAGCCATTTCACAAAACAAGCAGCCTCTGTCCAAAAAATGCTCAGAGACATAGGAGGTCTGTGAAAACTGTTTAGTTGCAGTGTATCCCTCCAACCACTGCCAAAAACCTGGTAGAAAAGACATAGCCCTCCACTATGGCAAGGGACAGTGTGTTGGTGCAAGAAGCTAGTACAGCAGCAGGCAAACATCTAGCAAAGGACAGCTAAAGCCAGTACTGAAACAAATTCCTAAGAAAGGGATGCTTGTATACAGCTACTCACTCACAAACACTACAAATCTCTCAGTTTTTGCCATTAAAAACAAAAAAAGGAAGAAAAAAATGAAAACACAGAAAACAAACTCCCAACATCAACAGAAATTGGAATGATACCCTCCTACCAATTTACATATCAAAAACATTTTAATGTTCTTGGGAATTATATGTTTGTGAATAAAGAAGGATAAATACTTTCAATTATTTTAAAAATTATATTTCTAAAAGTCTGTGAAATAGATAGGTGCTATTCAGAATATTCTTCCAGCACGTAAATGTCATCAGAGATGTAGCAGTCACGAGCAGACAGTCTTACTGACAATCACGTGAAAAACTGTATTCATAGTAAAAAATGAATATCCAAAAAGACTTGGTGCTTATTTTGAGTTTGATCTGTATCATTAGTTCCATATTTTTAGAAATAAGAATATTGCTGATTTGACCAGCATGTACTTCAAATGTTAATGTTTAATTTCTCAAGATTAATATGCTAGAAAATAGCAACACTAATCTTCCCTAAGGAAAAACATGTCCATTACTGAAAACATGTTTTCTAATCATACTGTCTTTTAAAAAAAGCTTTGCATTTTATTTAGTTTTGTCTTTTAATTAGCAGTGAACTATACTACATATCTATCTTTTCTCAACCAACAGATAATACTGTTTATTAAACAGATTCACTATAAATGGCAGGACTTGTATCCTTGTTTATGTAATTAAGTATCTCTTAATCTTAAAAAGCAGAAATAGGAAGGAAAAATCCTTTTGCATTTTGGCAGCTTCCCAAGGTTTGCAACTTTGACTAATACGTGTTTTATATCACATTTTAAAAAGACAAAGAGGTTGTGTAATCAGCTCTTAATAAAACTAAAAAATGGAAACCAACTAGCAGGGATCTTGGCAGCAGGGACCAGGATCTTCTGAAATCAAACAGAATTAGCACCATGTAAACTCAAACAGATCCCCTGAACCAGAAGGCTTTTGATTTCATTTGATGTTTAAAATAAAGTAATAACATGTCGTGACCCCCCTTTCTTATTTATGCTATTAAAATTTTAACTGATGTGTCAACAAAGAAAAAACCAAGTGCTTTTCCACAATTTTCTACATGACAGACTGTAAACAGTCTGAGTATTTTTCACTGGTTTTCAGAAACGGGGATACAAGTTGCACCACGAGCAGCAGAATTAATGGGGTTTCATTATATGTGACTTTGTGCCCTTTGTCTCCTTATTTCCCGTCATCCCCTCAGACACCCTGCCTGATTGATACGGCAGGTGGGCAGCACCGCGTGCGACCAAAAGCTAGCCCTGTGCTGAGCAGTTCCTCCTCAACACGGAGAAAGATTAAAATCACAAGTTCTCAACTATGTCTGTCCCTTTACCCAGCCAATTTTCATGAAGACCACAGGAACACAGTATCTTTGGGACCTCTGCCACCCACCAAGGATGGTTAAGATTGTCAGTGAGTTCCCAAGTCATGTGGGACTAACAAACAGGTACAAACAGTGACCACCTCTAAGGCATTTTCTTCTGCTATGCAAACCATAAATAATAAGACTTGCACCCTTCTATGCAGCTTTAAAAAAATAAAAAAAGCCAGAAAGGTAGTATCTTAGAGGAGTACCAAATAATTCTAAACTCAGAAAGAGAAGATGCTAAGGCAACGCTGTCAATATTCGGAGAAGTACATATGGTATCACATAAAGGCATCCACTGAATTCTAGATACTCAAGACCTTTGGTTCACTTCCCATACATGTGCCAGGACTTACTATTATAAGTAATACTACAGTCAGAAAAAACAAAGACACGGAATTTTCAAAATATTCCTTCCTAGACCACTCCAAGTGAGGGACTTACAAGCAAGTAAGAATGGGAACTTGAAAGGGCACATATACAAACTTTCTCTCGTGCTTTAATTGCTACATGCAGACTTACATAAAATCAGTTTCTGCTTTCAAAATATTAAACCTTGTGGTTAAACTACAGTAATAAAGGGAAAGTGTGATGTGCACTTTCATGGAAGAAAAACCCTGCACTGATTCAGTTATGCTCACCTCTAGCAAGCAGCTTCTCTCTCTTACCCAGCCTCAGATAACCAGGTAAGGAAGCAGATCACACTTCAGGCTTTAGGAAGCTGAGCGTGGCAGACATTAGCAACACATACTCACAGTCCACTCTGCTATCAGGGACTACAATCTGTATACTGCAGCTTGCTGATTATTTTGACTAGAATTGGATATAGTCTCTTCTTTATTTATGTAGCTGGTTGACTGGAGGAAGTAGATAGCAGATTATTTAGTTTAAAACAACCTACAATAATCCTGGCGTCATTCATCTAGTATTTACCTCTGGCTTTCAAGATTGAAGAGCTGATGTGGAGTAATATTTAAAAGACCATACTTAATTTTTATGTCATATGCTTCTTCTAAAAATGCTATATATGAGTCAGTTAAACTTCTTAACATAAACAACTGTTTTAAATTGACAGTGGAACACACACCAGCATTACACAGAAGACTTAGACTTCCTCCTGGCTCTTGGGGAAGCAGATGGTCCTCTGCTTGACATCTGAAAGATTCCTTTATCAGACACTCTTACACTGTTTTTACAGAAAAGTACCTAAACAGTAAGGAATCTCCTCTGCATTTGGCCAGAAAGCAAGGGCTTAGTAAAAGACAAAACAGATTCTGCAGTTCTATTTACAGAATAAGCTTTATTTCACCAAAATATCTGAAATACTGCTTAGGATGTTTTCCTTGCTGCCTACATGAAATTAATGTGTTGCTCTAAAAAGATTACATAAACACAGAAGTAATATATGATCCTCATTATTGTACATATAATTTTAAAGAAGTCCACCTGCGATTTGTTTGTCTAGAGTGGCAGTAGGTTTACAAAAAACAAACACCTTCCCTTATGGTTTATGGTTGACAATTTCCTGTTGTGCTGTGAGCTCTGATAGATGAGAACTTCCCGTTCTTTTGTATTGTTTTTACTTATCAACTGCCCATTTATTAAAGGCCCTATAAGCTCAGCAATCTGTCTCACACCTTCTCCTTCCCTGCAGTCGAGTTATTCTTCTGAAGCCCAAAGCTCATACTTTAATATTTCAAGGAGAAAATGTTTTAACCCTATCCTGTGAAACTAGATAGAATCCATGCAAATCAAGAAACTCTTGGAAATGAGACTCCGCAGTCTACTAGCCCTGCAAGACCATGGAAGATAGCTTGTACACAATGGAAAAGGTTAAAAAAAGGGGGTGGGGGGTGGTAGTAATAAAAAAAGTGATGCCAATCTACCAACATTTCTCACTGTTCTCTCCCATTTCTTCTCTCCTTCAGGTATCTATAAACTTCTTTCAAGTTCTTAAGTGCTTCAGCTACCACCTCATTTTTATCCTGCAGGTAAGCACACCTTGAAAGTTACTTATTAAAATGTCTTCTTTACATTGCTCCTGCACAACCAAAGAACAGACATTCAAACTACTGACCCATGTTTTCGGTTTGTCTCAGCTATGTTCAGCTCATGACACAGCACGCAAATCATTTACATTATACAGAAAGCTCAATTCAAAAGCCCAAACGCAAATACCTAAAAAGGCAATTCCACAAATGAGACAACGAAAATTTCATCTTCTTACAGATTTATCTTCTCTGCCTTCCCACTACCGTGTCCCGGCCCACACCTCAGGTCCCAGCTGCAGTTCCTTGGTTTCCCTCTGCATCTCCTGCTTCCTCCCATCTCACCTAGACTAGGCAGCTGGCCACAGCTTCCAGGCCAGCCGAGCAGAACCACAGAGGGTTAAGATCATCTTGTCTTTCTCCTCATCGGAGCATTAACAGTGTCTTTGTTCTGCAGCTAGAGAGGCCTAGTCTTGTTGAATTCACTTGAAATTGGCCAGTACATTCAGAAACTTACTATGGGCAAATGTTATCTGGGAATTGTATAAAGCTCTTTTTAGAAAATCAAACCAAAAGGAGGATAGCAAATTATTTACCTGAACCTGCCCAATTTAAATAATATTCGGGCTCTATCTATCCTGAGTTGCTACTCATTTGTTCTTGGGGAAAAAAAGCCAGCTGCTGATGTTGGGTTTTTAGAATATCTCCTAAATGGCTGCAATTTCTGGAGCAGAAGGTACAGCACCATTTAAGCATAGACTCAGAAAACACATCTTAGTCTGTGACTAGTGTTGTTTTCAGTGTTAAAGCTGGTTTCTAAGATGTTACAACCTTAAATCTGAAGCTGAGAACATCTTGCAAAAAGAGTCTGGCTTTTTTTAGTTTTTTGGGGTTTTTTTGTTTTTTTTTTTTTTTTTAAACTTTTACAACTATTTTAATAGATGGTCTCAAAGTATATGTGAGATGCCTGACTTGTTTTTCTCCACTGACTGCCACAAGAAGTATGAGACAAATTCTGACATAATAGCTATTATTAATGGAGTATCTTGTATTAGCTGCATAGCCTGCCTCCTAAGGAAAAGCATTTGTGATTGCTATCAAAATCCCAGGCATGGTACTTACTGATAGACAATGTAAGACAACACTGCATTCCTTTTCAAAAGCAAAAGACGCTTCTGCTCTAATATAACCTGTTATGAAAGACCCATGAGGGGGCTTTGCCCTTTAACATTGCCCTTTCGAATTCTCTACATGCTGTTTTGTAGTAGACATATAAAATAAATTACCTTTGTTTAAAGTGAAATACATTTTGAAGGGAAATGAAATGCTTCAGTGATGTCAGGCAGATTATATGTAGTTTGATTTTAATCTCACTACAACCATCTAGTTTTAACTGGACGCAGAGAAAAATATTTGACCAAACAGCAACAGCAGGATAATTTGAGACTCTATTTGATCCGCAAGTGAAAGACGCGCAGATAGTCAGCCAGTTCACAAAAAGCAAATCTTACATTTATACTGAGCTAGCCAGTCCAAGAGCAATTTATTGTGAAGGAGTGAGAAACAGACACTTTCAGAGCAAAATTCATCTCAGTGATTCTAGGTGTCTACTTTAGAATGTGGTAAGTTGTGCCCCAGAAGTACCTGCATCTCTACTGACTGTACAGGGAGCTCAAGGAACTCAAGCGTAGATACCTGCATGTGTTTCTATGGATCTCAACCCAAGTTTGTGGCCTTATGTAGCTAAGCCTCTGAAAGGCTGAGATGTGACGCTACTCACTTCATTCTTCCCACACTAGACTGTGAGATCTTTGGATTCATGACACTTTGGTATCAAAACATCTTAAAATGAGCTACTTACTTACACTCCCATGTATATGTATCTAGCAATGAATCTTTAGGGCTTGCCCTCACAGAGATCTGTATTATCCAACTACAGCCTGCACATGGATGATCACTACATGTACATGAGACTCAAGCCTTCACGGGGTGGGGAATAAAACTAAGTCAGGCAACAGATTCATCTCAATCCACACACTATATAAGCCACAGCTACCAGTAGAAGAGAAAGAATGTCATGTACAGAATTAGCTTTCCTTGGCATGCCCTCCTAGCTTCCAGCAACCAGGAGTTCAGGGACTTCCTGAACTGAAGGATGCACCTGGATCATTGTTTGACACCAAGAGCATCCCTTAATTTGACTCATCATTTCTGAATCCATTTGTATTTTTGGCCATGCCACAATATCCTGTGGCAATGAGTTCCACAACTTAATTATACATTGTGTGGAGGAAAAAACCCAACTTCCTTTTGTTTAGCTTAAACCAGTTACTTGGCAATTCTGTAATATACCCTATTGCTCATATTATGAGAAACAGCAAAATTGCTTCTTTTCTCGGAATCATTCTTGATTTTACATACATCCTCTCGAGATACCCCTCTCCACTTCCTTCTCCTCAGTAATGTCTTCCTAGAAGTCCCTTTAGTCTACTTAGTCTTACTCTGCATGAAAACTGTTGCATAAACTCTGGTCATCATCAGTACTCATTACTTGGCCAATCTTTTTTTCAGTCATACTGTATCCTTTGCAAAGTTGGAAAGTGAATGGAAGGATCTGTAAGCAAAACCAGAAGTTTGAGTTTACAGCAGGATATAGTTTTCTGCTTGTTTTCAGTTACTTCCTTTGTGTCTGCTTAAATACTCCATTTATCTTCTAGATGGTCACTAAAAAAACCACCAGATTAAGCTGATACTAGCCACACCGACTCCACAATCTCTCTCTCTCCTGAATTTAGCACCTAGTGTGGTCTATGTACAGTTATTTTCTTCAGCTACACTTTACATCCTGTAGCAACAAATCAGTTTTGAAAGACTGGTTAGGTACAGGAATGTATGTTGGGTAATTCTTATAAAATTTCTGTTTCTTGATCTGCTGTACCACAGATATATTTTCAACTAAATTCCGAAGATAAGATACAACATGGAACAGTGCACTGACAAGTCGCCTCTGAAAATGCAATGCATGAATAAGGGAATAATTTTTTTGGAGAAAATTGATATATCATAAATAACAGTAAGCCAGGATGGAAACTTATTTCTAACATATCATAGTTTGTTGCTTCGTAACATCTACTCTCTACAACAGGCTTTCCTAGGGGTAACAACCTTCCCCCCAGTTTTTAAAGATAGCAACAACTACTCATTATCAAAGCAAATAATTCAGAATTATATTGGTGAGAAGTAACTGTAATCGCCTGGATTACTTTTTCCCAGGTAACACTGTATTTCAAAAAAATTTCCATCCCAGGTTTTCTGCTTCTTATGAAATAACCCAAAGATCATCTTCATCAGCAACTAACATCCATTACTGTACTTAGCCACAGCAAAATTATCACCTTTCAAATTCCTTCAGCAAGAGTACAGGCAAAATCTTAATGAAATATGCATAGTAACATTAAAAAAAAAAAGGGGAGCACAAGTTTGATATCTAATGTATAATCACAGACCAAGTCAGGTGTGCAGATTTCCCAGCACAAACTTTATTAGAGTTCAGTTAAAAATACATAATCTCCAGACATTTGAGATGTAGTTCTGACTGATAATGTAGCAGACAGGAAATGAAACCCCTCCCAAATGCTGCTCCTTATCTTGAAAAGCTCTGAAATTATTACTGAACTAATAAAGTAATTTTGCTTTTTAAAAAAATGATCTTCTTCGATAAAGGCAGTTATGAGAATATTACTTTTTGCTGGCTATGTACCATACTGATGAGCATGACAACTTTTAAGAGTCTTTATAGCAGATTCTGTTAGTGAATCTGTCAGCCTTTCTGAAAGGGATACTTGATCTAGTAGACAGCATCATACATTATTATTAGAACTACTAGCATTATTTTGCTTTAATGTTTAAATATTAAAAGAAAATAAGAAATGGAAAAATACAAGATAGCCCCATACTCAGGAAGGTTCCCAGTCCTACCATGTGATGTTTAATGACAACAGATTAATTCAAGCTCATTATTGGGATTTGGAAAATGTGGGGTCAGTCCCTTAAAGTAAAGACACCAAATCCCAGACAGGGAGAGTGCTTCTGCCATTGAGGATAGCAGATCCACTGTCACCTCCATTAGCAGTATTTAAAGGAAAGCCTCTCTTTAGAGCCATGGTGACAGCTATGTGCTCAAGCCGAGGGACACACCTCCTGATAGCGTTGAGGACAGCAGGAGATGGGATTTAAAACATGTCCTGTCCTCTGTGTTTCCTGTAAGTCCTGTTGGCTGCACTGAGGCAGTTTCATGTTGAGGGTTGAGTGGCTGTCACTAGGAAGGCCCTCAGCCCTTTCATGCCCTGTATAAAGGGAGCTCAAACATCTTCAACAGCAACATTCTGGATTCTGTAATGCAACCAGGCACACGGAGGCTGGGAATTGCTAGATTCAGACTTTCTGTGACATTAAAATAAAAACTGCTAGTTCATTAAAAAAACACTTTAAAAATAAATGTTTGATAATACGAGTCAGAAACTTGACAAAGATTATTTGATGCTGTATTAGCATTACTTTTTTCAACACACGAAGAACACAGAATGAAGCTCTAGAGCAGTAAGAACATTTTTGTAACACGGGTTCTGTTTCTAAATATCAGCTGATTCTAAATTTCAACTTCTTAAATGTTAGAATTCTAGACTATGCATATATGTAAGGTTTATTTTCTGGGTTCTGTGGGAAAAAAATCTAAATATGCACATAATGACATTATGATTCAATTATCACAAGTAATCCCAGATCGATAAAACCCAATAAATTGTAACATCGTGTCCAGAAAGCTCCATCCATGTGGAGAGTTTATGTACACAGTTCTCCGTTTCTATTCTTTACTTGTAAAATATGAAGCTACGGGCTTTAAATCCTTCAAAAATTCTGTTTTCGAAGTTGTGGTTCTGTAAGGTATCCAAACCTATACACCAGCCAGTTCTTGGATGCCCCCCATACTAACAGTACATCCAGAAGTGTAATTTTTATAGTGTACAGCACCCTCTACTGGGACAGGTAGAAAGCTAGTATTTTGAAGGTAGTACTTAAAAAAAATATTAAAGGATACTATAGAAAAGAACATTATCAACATCTTGCAATACAGTCATACATCACAGAGTATCAACAAACTGTGATCATAGAAAAACTGTGTATTGTTCAATCTAATGCTACAAGTAGTTCTCATTACTTGCCTTTTCCGTTTTTTGCTTTAGAACTTTTGGTTTGTAAGGCTTTTCTTTTGTTTACAGTGAGTGCAAACACCACAAATCAGTTATATCAAATTTGGGTGGAGTGAGCTAAAGGATAAAACACACTACTACACTTTAAAGTTAGTATCTGAGAAACAACTGTTGATTACTACTGGTCTTTCTATTTGCAGACACATTTACCAGTGGTAGCCAATAAATTTCTTTACAAGCCAGATACTGACAACTCTTGCCAACAGGTTGCCATGTGTGATGAACTTTTGGAAGAGCCAACAGTAACAAACAATCAAGTCATCACTTGCATGTAACCTGCACTAAAGAAAATACAGATCATACTTCACACCCAAATCCAAAATGACGACATGTGTCTTAGTGACACTGCCATTAAGTTGATGCAGGCATTAATGGCTGTAAACAAATAATTTGCATAATATGGGGCAAATTTTAGAAGAAAATTGTTGAACTGACCTCTTCATCAGAGTCATCTGCAAACACTGACAGTTTCTTTGAAACGAGATTCTTCTGCGGCAATTTTTTTGGCATAATGAGCCCATATCTAGGGGGAAAAAAAAAAGTTACCCTTAACATTACTTACAACAAAACACATAGCATGTTCCAAAACAAAAATCTACCACTCACAATTTTAGAAACAAAAGATCAACATCAACATAATGTATCAAGTATAGATTTAAGCAGCATTTGCAGTAGTGCACTCAACTTTGCCAGCTTCTCCCATACCTATAGCTGCCTTTTTCCATGCAGTTTCTGGATGTAATAATCTTCCTAAATTAGGCCACAAAAACACCCTTGTTCAGAGTTCTTACAGTAATTTTTTTTTTCTCCCTCAGAGAAGAAATTACTACTGATTAACCTCCAGAGATTTAGTCTTAGTCTACAACACCAGACACTATTCTGTAACTACATTTGCTGCTGCAATATGAATTTCACCCGTTTTGCATGGCAATGTAAATCACCAACCCACAGATAGAGCAAAAGAAAAGATTTTCAGTGATCTTATGTCATGCAGAGATTGATTAACTACACGTGCAGAACTCTTCTGCTGACACAGCCAACGTCTGTGCTCAGAAACAGTTCCTGTGTTTTCAGTCATGAGCAATCTCTTAAATCAGGAATTCCTCCCCCACCTGCCTTTCCCCGAGTCCATCACTAAGTCAATAGCTCGTCACAGCCTATAGCGTTGATCTGGAGAACTCCACGAAGCCGTAGGTACTACGTCATCATTGTGACGAACTATTTGCTTCCGTGTGCTCTGAATCTGCCCCCCAAAAGCTCCCTCTGACCCCGTTGCGGGGACCCGATAAGCGAACGGCCATCCCAGCC